TGGGATAGATTTTATTTTTGATTTTGGTGCTTATAATGGTATAGAGGATATGGGAATAAGTAATTCATATTATTGAACAATAGTGGGGATTTATACATGGAATACAATAATGGAAAGGATAAAAATGATTGCCTAAATTTATGCACAGTCACAAGCAATCAACTAAATATAGAAATACATAGTAAATGGAATTTGAATGTGTAGTAGACTTTCCTTTTTCTTGAGATATATATTGATCCGTAATACGCCCCCACAAGATGGAGGATCCGTTGGAGACTCCAATCTTGGAGCGAAGATGAAGAAATGGTCCTTGACCAAGTGCTTTTGTAAGGACATCAACAAGTTGGTCTGCTGAATGTACATGTTGGACTCAGAGAGAGCCATCAACGACCTTATCACGCACGAAGTGATAGTCCAAGGCAACGTGTTTCATGCGTGAATGATATATCGGGTTTGCGCAAAGATAAATGGCACCGACATTGTCACAAAACAGGGCAGGAGGGTTTGAAATACATACACCTAGTTTGAGAAGTAAATTCTGCACCCAAGATAATTTTGCTGCTACATTTGCCAAGGCTTTGTATTCAGCCTCAGTTGAGGAGCGGGACACCGATTTTTGGCGCGCCGATCGCCAAGAGATAATGTTGGATCCGAGATATAATATATAAGCGGTAGTAGATCGTCCGTAATTGGAAATACCTCTCCAATTAGAATCTGATAAGGCTTTAAGGTGAAGTGGGGAACCACGATTGAGGTGCATGACGTGATGGATGGTTCCTTTTAAGTAACGTAGTACCCTTTTTTATGCTTCCCAATGTAGTTGACTTAGCGAGTGCATGAATTGAGATAACTTATTAACCGCAAAGGACACATCTGGGCAAGTGAATGAAAGGTATTGTAGAGTACCTAATAGTTGGTGGTAGGGTGTGGGATCAACCCCGGCTGAACCATCGTTGGGAGATAGTGGGTCGGAAGAGTGTAGAGGGGTGACAACCGATTTTGCACCATCCATTTTGAACTTGGTCAGCAAGTTTTGTATGTGGTGGTGTTGAGATAGGAACAAACCATTGGAAGTGGGAATAACCTCTATACCAATGAAATGATGTAGCATGCCAAGATCTTTAATAGAAAATGCATTCGCCAAAGCATCAATGATCTTTTGAAGAAAATGGTTGTTGTTTCCTGTCATGACAATGTCATCCATGTAAACTAGAAAATAGCAAGTTAATTTATCATGGTTATAAATGAACAATGAGGAGTATGCTCTTGATTTTTGAAAACCAAGGTTGAGAAGAAATTTTGTAAGTTCGAGATACCAAGTACGTGATACTTGCTTTAATCCATAAAGAGATTTGTGAAGCTTGCAAACGTGGTTTGGTAAATCTGGGTTGACATGCCCTGGAGGTTGGGTCATGTAAACTTCTTCTTGTAAGTGACCATGCAAAAATGTATTGTTGACGTCAAGTTGTCTTAAGGGCCAATGTTTGGACAAGGCAATGGAAAATACGGTACGAATAGTTACCGGCTTTGTAACGGGACTAAATGTTTCAAAATAATCTTTGTCGTATTGTTGATGAAAACCTTTGGCGACTAGGCGTGCCTTATATTTATCAATTGAGCCGTCCGATTTGCGTTTGATTCGAAAAACCCATTTGCAACCAATAGGTTTGTGTGAATGAGGAGGTACGAGTTCCCACGTGGCATTCTTGAGTAGGGCATTAAATTTAAGGTCTATTGCACGATGCCACTGGGGATATTTTAAGGCTTGGGTGTGGGTAGTTGGCTCAGTAGTTGACGTATATGATGGGGGATAGAAGTATTGATAAATTATGGATTGAAGTATTTGGGGTTGGGTTTGCGAGTTCTAGGAGGAGGTGTAGAAGCATTGGATTGATCGGGAGTGGTTGGTGTAGGGGAATCATTGGGTAGATTGGGAGTGGTTGGTGTAGGTGAGACATCAGATGGAGATGGGTGAGGTGAGGGAATTGGGCTATCGAGTGGGTTCGGTTGAGAGGGAGGTGAGGTAKGGGAAGGTGGTTCTTGTATGGGAGGTGTAGTAGGTGTATTGGGTTGGTTGTGAATATTGAGTGGCGTAGGACATGGGGTGTGGGTCATGGGGTGATTTTGATTTGGAGGGTTGGTGAAGGTATATGAGTTATAATGAAGGAATTGGTCAACAGTGGGTAAGGATGATTTGGTGGCTTTTTTGGACATGCATGGATATAGATGTTCAATGAATTGAATATGTCTCGAGTGGAATAGGCGGTGGGAAGATAAGTCATAGCACTTGTAGGCAGATTTTGAAGAAGAATAACCTAAAAAAATGCATGGCGTTGATTTTGGGTGGAGTTTTGATTTTGCATACGGTTTGAGCCATGGATAGCAAAGGCATCCGAACGACTTGAGTTTGGTGTATGTTGGTGGTTTTCCATAGATAATACCGTATGGGCTTTTGGAATTTAGAATTGGTGTCGGAAGTGTATTAATTAGATAGACGACGGTTTGGAAGGCATGGGACCAGAACTGGAACAGAAGGTGAGCATAATGGAGTAGTGCTAAACCTGTTTCAACGATATGATGGTGGCGTGATATGTGTTGAGAATTCAACACATAATGCATCTGTTTTACGTCTTTCTAGTTAAAATTAGTTGTCTTTCGTTCCCACTTTGAGTCATTTTAATTTATTTCTTTATATTTTTTTATGCAGCTAAAATATTGTGGTTTTACTTGTTGGGACATCAAAATTTAAGCTAACGGAAAATCTTTTGTAAAACAGCCTAATGCTACAGCACTGCAGCAGCAACCACCTGTTACATACGCGGTTTGGCAAGGGCTTAACGATTAAGCTGCTGATTTTTGGATGCTGATTGGAAGACAGCCAGATGACAGCTGGAAGATTTTAGTAATCTGGGAATTTTTGGACCAAGKGATTATCTTATGCATAGGATTCCTTTTTGTATTAATCTTTGGTCATTTACTTATAGGTAATAGTTTTGTTGTTTTATGCAAGACTCTTTGTATAAATAGGAGTGCTTGGGCACTTGTTTAAACATCTCATATCATATCTTAAGAATCAAAATCAGCTAGTGAGAGCTGATTTTGAGAGCTTTTSAGAAAAATTTYCAAGTTYTTGAGTTTTTGAGTTTTCTTCTTTAATTTCTCGTCTTTCATTTTCCGCTCTTTATTTTACGTTCCTTTACGATTATTGTCWTTTACATTCCGTCATTTACTTTYCGCAATTTATTTTCTTGTCATTTACGTTCTCGCAATTTATTTTMTCGTTATWTAYTTTCCCGTCATTTAYTTTCTCGTTATTTAYTTTACGCAATTTACATTTATGTCTTTACTTTCCGTCATTTATTTTTTACTTTCCGTTATGAGTAGCTAAGCTTTTATAGCTTGGGTGTGAGACAAAAATGTGAGTTTTCAAACCGAACGATAGTAGCTAAGTGTTTTTGAAAACGACGTTCCATTGTTTCATTCGAGTTTTTATAAAACCAAGCACACTTCTTGACGGGTTGATCACTTGAAACTGTTAAAGTGCGATGGACTTAGAGATAAGCCATCAATAAGCACGTCAACTTGGATGACATAAGAGGTAGACTTGAGAAAGTTGCCGACAAGGAGACTTGTCATTTATGTTTTTCAAAACGTAACTCCCGACGGGTTGGTCGCTTGTCAAAAGTGTCAAAGTGTGATATATTCAGAGATGAAATATCAAGACCACGCCAACTCGAATGATATGGGAATCGGCTCGAGAGAGTGATTTTTAACAAAGGGATTTGTTTATCCATATATTTTGAAAACACCATTGTGTCACTATCCCCGGTCTGGACACCACATAGAGATATGGGTGGAAAGCTATAAGATAGTGAAATGGTGAAGTCCGAGAGGAATGCCTTCAAAATAGATGGTGGAACTTAGTTTCGGAACACTGCTTGCTATAGCATTCCTATAGCATTGGCTGCTGGAATTCGTGTTTGGGTCTCACCTTAAGTTTCACACCCTTGTTTCTTTTATATATTCTGCAATTTGTTTTGGATCATATTAAAATCAGAGAAAAGTCTTCAAAATCGCCATCTGAAATCATATCTTTCATTAGACTCTAATCTAACTTTGGCTACAGTCCCTGTGGACGATAACTCGGTACTTGTACCACTTATTACTTGGAAAGACGACATTGGGCCGTATTGTATACTTGCTTTTCGGCCCAATTTCATTAAGTCTAGAGGTGTGAAATATAACCGAACCAAGTTTTTGGCACCGCTGCCGGGGATTGCTCCGCTAAAGTTTTATTTTGAGTAAAGTAAAAGGTTTGATTTTTCTTGTTCCGTTTGAATTGTTTTTAAAAGTGGTGTATGCCAAGAACGCGTTGTGGTGAATTTTTCGAATTTGATCCAGACATTGAGAGGACGTTTCAACATAGAAGGAGGGCTCATAGAGCGTTTCAGGCTCTACTCCCTCCCAACATGGAGTTACCTGCTCCCAACAATCCGGGAACACAAATTTTGGAAAACCAACCGCCAATTTTTGGGCAAATACCACCATTCCAAAACTTTCACCATGGAAACCCACATAATGAGAATGATAATAATTTGGACACCGAATCAGATCCTACTGAACACCTAAGGGCACAAACTCCAAATATCATTAATCTGGCAAATTCCAAGAATGGAAGGATCATGGACTACGCTATCCCGGATTTTGAGCAGTTAAATTCTGGGATAGTCAGACCACATATGACCGTTCTCCATTTCGAGCTAAAACCAATCATGTTTCACATGTTATAGACCAACGGTCAATTTGCTGGACTGCCCTCAGAGGACCCACATTCTCACTTAAAGTCTTTCATGGAAATCACAGATGCCTTCCTGATCCCAGGAGTGTCAAATGACGNGGCAAAAGCATGGTTTAACTCTTTAACACCAGGATCTGTGCCGTCATGGAGTAACATGGCGGAAATTTTTTTGCGAAAATATTTCCCACCGACAAGGAACGCTAAGTCCAGAAATGAGATTTGTCTTTTCAAACAAATGGACGATGAGGCTGTTCCTGATGCGTGGGAAAGGTTTAACGAGTTGTTGAGGAAATGCCCACACCATGGCATTCCGTACTGTATTCAACTCGAGACGTTTTACAATGGGTTAAATCCCATGGCAAAACAAATGCTCGATGCGACTGCGGGCGGAGTCTTTACAGCTATGACCTACAATGAAGGATACGAGATCCTAGAAAAGATTTCAGCAAACAATGGGCATTGGACTGACCCACGTGCCCAGACACAGAAAAAGACTGCGGGAATACATGAGGTGGATGCATACACTGCATTAACAACTCAGCTCACTTCCATGACCAATTTATTGAAAAATTTAACTTCTGGTCAGGGAGTACAACAAGCTGCTAACACATCTGTTCCAACAGTCCTATCTGTGCAATGTGTGTGTGCTGTGGTGGGGATCATTCATATGAACATTGTTCTCATAATTCTGAATCAGTAAATTATGTTCAAAATAGATCTAATCCCTACTCTAACTCATACAATGCCAGTTGGAAACAGCACCCGAACTTTTCTTGGACCAGTCCCAGTTTAAACCCACCAGTCCATAAGCAACAAGAAACTTCTAATTTCCAACCGCAACATCATGGAAATAGTTCTAACACTCAGAATCACCAACAAGGTTTTCAACACTCATAGCCACCTTTCCAGAACAAACCTCCTCCATAGTCAGAATCATCCTCTTTGGAAGCAATGATTAAAGGACTTTTTGCACAAGCACAAGCATAAAACCAAGCTTTAATAAATCAACAAAGTGCGGCCATCAGGAATTTAGAGACTTAAGTCAGTCAACTCGCGCTTAACCAGAATAGTCGAGCCCATGGAACCTTGCCCAGTAATACAGAAGTCCCTAGAGACTTAGGTAAAGAACATGTGAAAGTAGTGACTCTTAGGAGTGGGAAGGAGTTGAAAGAAAAAGTGCCCAAAGATAGTGCACCAATTTTGACAGAARCTGATGCTACAGCATTGGTTCCTGCCAAAGAAAGCCCGGTCCTACCCTTAGAGAAACAGGCATTAGAGACCACCACTTCTGTCCCTCCTAGATCAGACTTTCCATTACTCTTTCCTAAGAATGCTCTAGAAAAGTCAAAAGAAACTGAGGTTTTAGAGACCACTAAGCTTGATGTTCACAGTTCATATGAACCTCCGAAGGGCACCACAAAGACCCAAGGCATTCAAGACCCGTCTTGCTCAACTCATCCAAGTAAGAATGTAATAAAACCAGTACCTCCTTATGTTCCTTACTCCCAAAGGTTAAGGAATCAGAAAGAGGAACTGCAATTTAAGAAATTCTTGGATGTGTTTAAGGAATTGCACATCAACATCCCACTTGTTGAGGCAATTGAGCAAATGCCTAGTTATGCCAAGTTTYTGAAGGACATCCTAAGCAAGAAGAAGAAGTTAACTGAATATGAGACTGTAGCTCTAACCGAAGGATGTAGTGCACTTTTGACCAATAGAATACCCCCTAAGCTGAAAGATCCAGGGAGTTTTACCATTCCTTGTTCAATAGGAGGGAAGGAGATAGGGAAAGCCCTATGTGATTTAGGAGCTAGTATTAACCTCATGCCTTTATCTGTCTTCAACACCTTAGGCATAGGAGAGGCTAGACCTACCACCGTCACACTCCAATTGGCCAATAAGTCCATTGCATACCCTAAGGGAAAGATTGAGGATGTGTTAGTGCAAGTTGAYAAGTTYATWTTTCCGGCAGATTTTATCATCTTAGACTTTGAGGCTGATAAGGACATTCCTATAATTCTAGGGAGACCATTCCTAGCCACCAGAAGAACTTTGATAGATGTCCAGAAAGGAGAGTTGACCATGAGACTACAGGACCAAAAATTCACCTTTAATGTCTTCAACTCTCTAAAGTACCCTGATTACTTGGAAGAGTGTTCAAGAATATATGAGATAGAGGAGATGTGTTTGGAAGAAGGAATTTTTAAGAACCTTAAGTTGGAAGGAGAACATGATGAGGAATTAGAAGAGAAAAGTACTGAGGAGAGAGAGGAATTAGGAACTGATGTTGTCCCAGTGGATGCTGCAGCATTTGAGCTGTTAGAAAACAATGAGCAAAAAGACTTCACCCCGTCCGTAGAATCACCACCTGATTTGGAGTTGAAACAACTCCCATCCCATCTAAAGTATGCTTTTCTAGGAGAAGAAGGCAAATTGCCTGTCATTATCTCATCTACCCTAGAAGAGCATCAAGAAAAGAAACTTGTGGAAATGTTGAAATTACATAAGAAAGCCTTAGGATGGACCATTGCTGACTTAAAAGGGATTATTCCCTCTATTTGTCAACACAAGATCATCCTAGAAGATAGAAATTTCACTTCCATAGAACCCCAACGAAGGCTAAACCCAGTTATGAAAGAAGTAGTCAAAAAGGAGATTTTAAAATGGTTAGATACTGGAATTATTTTCCCGATTGCCAGTAGTTCTTGGGTTAGTCCGGTCCAATGTGTTCCTAAAAAGGGAGGGTTCACAGTCATCACGAATGACAAAAATGAACTTATCCCTACTAGAGTGGTCTTCGGTTGGAGAATATGTATAGACTACAGGAGACTGAACAAAGCTACCCAAAAAGACCATTTTCCACTGCCCTTCATTGACCAAATGCTGGATAGGCTAGCTGGAAAGAAGTTCTACTGTTTCTTGGATGGATATTCAGGATACAATCAAATAGCCATTTCTCCGGAAGACCAAGAGAAAACCACTTTTACTTGTTCCTATGGCACCTTTGCTTTCAGAAGAATGCCATTTGGACTTTGTAATGCTCCGACCACCTTTCAAAGATGCATGATGTCCATCTTTTCTGATATGCTTGAAAAATCCATTGAAATATTTATGGATGATTTTTCTGTGTATGGATCATCATTTGATAATTGTTTAAATAATTTAAAAAAAAGCTTGGAAAGGTGTGAGGAAACAGACTTGGTCCTTAACTGGGAGAAATGTCATTTCATGGTCAAAGAAGGAATTGTTCTTGGACATTTGATTTCAAGAAGAGGGGTTGAGGTAGATAAGGCAAAGCTTGAGGTAATAGAAAAACTACCCGAACCGACCACGGTTAAGGGAATCAGAAGCTTTTTGGGACATGCCGGATTTTATAGAAAGTTTATCAAAGATTTTTCAAAGATTTCAAAACCTCTTTGTTTACTCCTCCAGCATGACCAAAAATTCAATTTTAATGATGAATGCAGAAATGCATTCAAAACTTTGAAAAAAGCTTTGGTTACCGCACCAGTGGTAGTTGCCCCAGATTGGAACAAACCTTTTGAGATCATGTGTGACACTAGTGATTGGGCGGTAGGTGTAGTACTAGGACAAAGAAAAGACAGGGTGTTTCATTCAATCTACTACGCAGGTAAGATCTTGAATGAAGCACAAATTAATTACACTACAACTGAGAAGGAGTTGTTAGCCATTGTTTTTGCATTTGAGAGATTTAGGTCCTACTTGATGGGAACAAAAGTCATTGTGCATACCGACCACTCAACCATCAAGTACCTAATCTCAAAGAAAGATGCAAAACCTAGGCTGATAAGATGGGTGCTTTTGTTACAAGAGTTTGACTTAGAGATTCTGGATAGAAAGGGGGTAGAGAATCAGGTTGCAGACCATTTGTCTAGGTTGGAAGAACCCGAGAAAGGAGGAATGGACATTAATGACACTTTTTCCGATGAAAGAATCCTCTTGATTGACCAACCGAAAACACCTTGGTTTGCAGATATAGCTAATTTCTTGGCCTGTGGAATAAAACCCTCTGATTACACAAGCCACATGTTGAAAAAATTCTTTCATGATGCTAAATCTTACCTATGGGATGAACCATTTTTGTTTARGCTTGGTGCAGATCAGATTTTGAGAAGATGTGTGCCCGAATCTGAAGCGGCAACCATCCTACAACAATGACATCATGCACCATACGGAGGCCATTTTGGAGGCCAAAGAACTGCAGCCAAGGTTTTACAGTCCGGTTTTTATTGGCCAACTATTTTCAAAGATTCCCACAACTTTGCACAAAGGTGCAACGAGTGTCAACGGAGTGGCTCCATTTCCAAAAGAAATGAAATGCCATTAAACGGGATACTCGAAGTTGAATTGTTTGATGTTTGGGAAATAGACTTCATGGGTCCTTTCCCTTCGTCAAATAATTGCCAATATATTCTTGTGGCTGTTGACTACGTTTCCAAATGGGTGGAGGCCATGGCATGTGTGTCAAATGACGCAAAAACTGTGGTTAAGTTCCTCCAAAAACAGATTTTCACACGTTTCGGCACCCCTCGGACACTAATTAGTGACGAGGGTACTCACTTTGTGAACAATCTATTAAAAGGAGTCCTTGAAAAATACAATGTTAACCACAGAATTGCCACGGCCTATCACCCACAAACTAATGGTTTGGCAGAGCTTTCTAACAGGGAAATCAAAAGCATTTTGGAAAAAGTGGTCAAACCCAATAGGAAGGATTGGGCATTCAAATTAGATGATGCTTTGTGGGCATACCGTACCGCTTTCAAAACACCAATCGGTATGTCTCCATATAAGCTTGTCTACGGAAAAGCATGCCATTTACCCCTAGAACTTGAGCACAAAGCTTATTGGGCTATCAAGGAGCTCAATATGTCTTTGGATGAGACCATAAATAAAAGAAAGTTTCAACTTTGTGAAATGGAAGAGCAAAGACAAATGTCTTATGAAAATGCCAAGCTTTATAAAGAAAAAACAAAAAAATGGCATGATCATAGGATCCAACACCGGGAGTTGAAAGAAGGTCAAAAAGTCCTCTTATTTAACTCTAGGTTGAAACTATTCCCGGGAAAGCTCAAGTCTAGGTGGTCTGGACCCTTTGTCATTCAGAAAGTCTACCCTTATGGAGCAGTTAACCTCATTAATCCGGAGGAAAACTCTGTGTTCAAGGTGAATGGGCAACGTGTTAAGACATTTCATGAAGCTGTATCACTCCCAGAGTTGTGCTCTGAGAAGTGGGTTACACCTTAGATGATTGTGTTCTATGGACTCTGTGCAGTCCAAAGGTGTTT